CACTGGCCCCTGCCCCTGCCCGCACTGGCCCCTGCCCCTGCCCATTCTCCCTTCCTGCTGGTCCTATGGGACCCTCTCATCCTTTAGTTCAGCCTAATGGCCCTTTCCCATGCCAGGGTGGATTGTCCTGATTGCTTTGGTTCTGTGGTCCTGTGGTCCGCATGGTCAGTGAGTACAGATCTCTCATGGAGGAAACTGGGCATATTGCTGGGCCTAAGAGGCAGATTCAGTGCCATTTTGGGGTTTTTATTCGTTTCTTTCTTTCTTTGTTAGCAGTAATGGAGATTGAACTCAAGGCCTTTACCTTGCTTGGCTGGTGCTCTATCATTTGAGCCATGCCTCCAGCACTGCTTTTTACCGTTGTTGTTGTTGGTGGTGGTGGTAGTGGTATGTGTGTGTTGGTACTAGAGCTTGAACTTGAACTCAGGGCCTGGGCACTGTCCCTTAGCTTTTTCACTCAAGGTTGGCCCTCTACCACTTACAGCTTTTTGGTGATTAATTGAAGACAAGAGTCTTACGGGCTTTCCTGCCCAAGCTTCAAAGCATAATCCCCAGATCTCAGCCTCCTGAGTAGCTAGGATTACAGGTATGAGCCACTAGCACCTGGCTTTTCCAGTTATTTTGGCTATGAGAGCCTTAAGGACTTTTCTGCTTGGGCTGACCTGGGTGTGAATGGACACTAGATATGAGAGAGCAGGATAGCCCAGCCCTGTAGAGGCTCTTTCCTCCTGTCCCAGAGGCCCTGTAGCCTTCGTGTCAGGAGCTCCTCCCTCATGAATGTGTAACACACATGGATGGCTAGGGGGACTCGGGCAGTGGACGAGGGAGAGGAAAGGGCGCGGGGAGGGGCCGCAGCCCTGCTCTGGCCCTCACTCCAGCCTGGCAGCCACCTTACCTTTCCCAATGTATGCCAATGGGAAAGGGTGGGTTGGGAACTCCCAACCCCAGGCTTTCTGGACCTCATGGCTGGGAGGAAACCAGTAACAGGATGAAGGGAAGGGTAGGAAGGAAACCCACATTCCCCAAACCGCGGATGGCTGAGCCCCGGCCAGGACGCAGGCAGGAGGTGAAGGAAACCCGGCCCTCCCTAATAGGCCCAGCCCTGGGGGTCATGCAAGCCCCTGAGGCCTGGGTTCCAGGGCCACCCTGCCGGCTCAGGTCTGGCCGTGGGAAGCGGCGCGTGCAGCCCGCGAGGCCCTGGGCAGGATGCACAGGGCGCGCAGGGCACACAGGGCGCACAGGGCACACAGGGCGCGCAGGGCACACAGGGTGCACCGTCCTGCGGGGAGGGGCGCGGCCAGGGAAGGCAGGGCTGCAGCACCGGGAGGGAGGAGGCCTGTTCGCTGGGGAAAGATGAGAGGATGGGAGGAGCTGGGCAGACACCGTACCTGCCCGAGCCAGGAGCGCGGTCCGGTCCGCGGGGCCAGACCTGCCGGCTGGCCGACACCACCCCTTCACCTCCGGGATGAGCGGTCCGCCGACGTGCCGGCCTGTCAGGTGCAGGGAGGGGTGGGGGCGGGAGGGCGAGGAGGTCTCGTCCGGTGCTGCCCGGTCATTGGCTGTGGATGATCTCATTCTCCACCGTTAGAATAAACCACCAATCACCGCCAGGCTTGGTTTCCGCCAGCCCTTAAAGTCACAGGTCTGAGCATGAGGAGCAGGGGCGGGTCGGAGGGGGGGCGGGGAAGGGCGGGGTTGGTGAGCTCTGTCCTGGAGGGTGGGGTGAGGGTGGGCAGAGGAAGTGTATTGTCGTCCAGGTGTGCCCGGAGGGGCTGCTTCGGGAATCCAGGACAGCACTCAGATGCGTCTAGGAGTCTCAGAGTTTCACTCACTTATTTAAACAAGTTATGATTGTGCATTGAGAGTCCACTCTGCCCACGGGGCTAGACGTTGAGGGGTTAAGAGGGCCTACACAGGTTTGCTCAGCTCCTCATGGGTTTCTGGTTTGGTGAGGGGTACAAAAGCTAAATAACAGATGACGTGGGCTTTCCTTGTGATTGAATGTGTGAGAGGGAGACGCAGCACGGGGCTGTGATCTAGCCTGGGGGTTAGAAGGTATCGGCAAGACAATGAGAGCCAAAGGGAACTGCAGTCCCACACACTGTCCCTGACCCGCTCCCCTCACCTGACCCCCACCCCTCCCCTGCTTTCTCCATCCCTGAGGAGCTGTGGCACAGTGTCCGGCCCACACACCTGCCAGGTCTCCCACCTCTTACCAGAGATGACCTGCTCTGCACCCCATGGAAGCCAACCTTCCCCCTTGGGCATGAATCCTGCCCACCACCTATTCAAGGATACCACCATGCTGGCAATTCTCCTCCTTTGCTGCACAATTAATTTTGTTTCTTACTGGATCATTCACATCTTATATAAATGCAATGCCATTGCTTCTATCTTAAAGCAAACGAATACCAGGTGAGGTGGTAAACACCGAGTCCGTGGTAGGCATTGGTAGTTCTTCCAATCTTCTGGGGAGGCGGAAGCAGGAGGATCCACTGAACCTAGCTGTTCCAGCTAGTCTAGGCAGCACAGTGAGACTCTGTCTCTTTAAAAAATAAAATCAAAACAAGAAAACGAAAGATATTCTTGCTTTCACTTTTTCTTTTCTCTCTCTCTCTCTCTCTTTTTTTTTTGGGTCCGGTTGTGGGGCTTGAACTCTGGGCCTGGGCGCTGTCCCTCAGCTCTTCAGCTCAAGGCAAGCGCTCTACCACTTGAGCCACAGTGCCACTTCTGGCTTTTTTCTTTTTGCTTATGTGGTGCTGAGGAATTGAACCCAGGGCCTCAGGCGTGCAAGGCAAGCGCTCTACCACTGAGCCACCTTCCCAGCCCCACTTTCACTTTTTCCTCTACCTACTGCCCTAATTTTGCAGAGAAACTCCTTGAAAGAAGCCTGAAACTTGTCTGTTTTCAGACACTCTTCCTTAAACTCTCTTCAATGGAGTTTCTCCCAGCTGGGAAAGTGCTCTTGGTCAAGTTAGGGATCATCTTCTGGTAGCTAACCTTCCTGGTGGGTCCTCACTTTTTTTGTGTTGAGTGATTAGGAGCATCCAGAAAGGTGATTATAGTCTCTCCACACACTGCCTCCCAGGCCTCCAGAAACACTCTTAGCTTTCTCCTTTGCCACTTACTGTCTCTCTCCCTCCCTCCCTCCCTTCTTTCCTCCCTCCCCCCCACCCCTCTCTTCTTACATTCAGGGCCTGGGCGCTGTCCCTGAGCTCTTTTGCTCAAGGCTAGCACTCTACTACTCTGAGCCACAGCTCCACTTTTGGTTTTCTGTTGGTTAATTAGAGATAAGAGTCTCAGGGACCTTCCTGCCTGGACTGGCTTTGAACTGTGATCTCTCATTCTTTTTCCCCACATTGCTTTTCTTTTATTTTCTACCAGTACTAGGGAAAGTTTTCAGTAAACAAAGTTTCAAGGGAGAAGCAAGAACTAAGGTTTCACTCCCCGCCTCCTGCCCCCATTACATTCAATTTAGGGAGTAGTAGTGTTAGAGTTTGAACTCCCAGTCTGGTACTTGCTAGGCAGGCACTGAATCACTACAGCCACGCCTCCAACCTTCATTATGTTCAATATTTATTGACATACTGTTCATATAAATTTCTTCTGTTAAAATATACCTTTTAAAAATGTACACTGGTCCGAAGTATTTTCCAGTTTTGCAGTTCATAGTCTAATGTAGAACAGTTAAACCCTTACCTCAAAGAATCCCAATATACCTCCTCCTCAACTTTCTACCTGTATGGATTTGCCTCTTCTGGAAACCTCATACAAAATGGCTTCATCATAAAAATGACATCATCATATAAATGGCATCATACAACTCTGGGGCTTAGCACTGTCCCTCAGCTCTTCAGCTCAAGGCTAGCAAGCTACCACTTTAGCTACAGCGCCACTTCCGGTTTTCTGGTGGTTTATTGGAAATAAGAGTTTCACGGACTTTCCTGTCTGGGCTGGCTTTAAACCGCGATCCTCAGATCTCAGCCTCCTGAGTAGCTAGGATTACAGGCGTGAGCCACCAGTGCCCGGCAGTATTTCATTCTTTTTATGGCTGAGTAATATTCCATTGTGTGTATGTGTGTATATATAATTTTATTTATTCATCAGTTGATAAATACTTGGGTTACTTCCACTTTTTTACTATTATGAATAATGCTAATGTCAAAATTTATGTACACATTTTGTGTCAACATGTGTTCAACTCTATTGAGTGTTATGTAGGCGTGGATTGTTGGGTCATATGGTAACTCTATGTGTAACTTGTTGAGGAATTGCCAGACTTGCTTTCCAACAGAGCTGCCCCATTTTACATCCTCATCAGCTATGCAGGAAGGTTCCAACTTCTCCAGATCCTTGCCAAATTTTGTTGTTGTTATCTTTATGATTGCAGCCATCCAGAGGGTGTGAAGCAATATTGAATTGTGGTTTCAATTTGCATTCCCCTAGTGGCTAATGATATTGAGCCTGTCTCATGTGTTTGTTGGCTATTTGCATATCTTCTTTGGAGAAATGTCTGTTTAAATTCTTTGGCCCTACCTGCAATTGAAAAGGGGCTGCCAAAGCAAATTCCATCCCTCCTCTGCTTAAAACCCTGAACAGGCTCCCATTTTACTCCTGAGGCCTCCAAAGTCTTTGGTTTCTCGGCCCCCCTGCAATTTCTTCTCATCTACCAACCTCACTCAACCGTGGAGCATGACAGGCACCTCTCTCTCTCCAGGGTTTATGTTTCACAGCTGCCCCTGCCTGAAAAAAGCCTACCTCCAGAAATCTACCCAGCGACCCCTACCCTGTTTGGAGTCATTACCCTGCAGTGACTTTCTTGGGAGTCCTTTGATGGTCTCAGTCTGTCCCCAACACCTCTACTCTGTCTCATCCTGCTCTGCTTCTGACTTCCATTGGACTCAGCACCATGGCCTGCTCTGGAGTTGAACTGTTTGTTTGGGTTTTGTGTGTGTGTGTTTCCTTTCTTTCTAGACATGCACTGGTGGCTCACGTCTGTAATCCTAGCTACTCAGTGTTGAGAAAATGGAGAACAAAAAAGGAATAGGCCAGACTCGATCATCAACAGGCCAGGACTGTTTATTGAGAAACAGCGAGGGGCACAGACCTTCTCGAGGGTTTGGAGGGTGTGCCAGAGAGTCAGGACAGGAGCTGGGTTTTTATAGGAGGTCTGAGCAAGAAGGGCAGAGGTTAATGAAAAAGCCACCAGGTCAAGGGAGGTGGGGGCCTTTCAGGTGGGCCCGCAATGGGATGTTTACAGCTGGGCTTGGGTGTATTGCCCTGCCTGCACATCAAACAAGTTCGCACACCTGGGATTTTGCCTGGCATCTGTGTGGGCCTGGGACAATAGGGCGGAGGTCAATCTTTCATATTCCATCTTTAGATACATAAAATGATCGGGCCAAGAGGAGAGAGGCAAGTCCTTTACTCAGAAGGCTGAAATCTGAAGGTAGTTCAAAGCCAGCCTAGGCAGGAAAGTCCATGAGACTCTTCTCTCCAATCAATCAGCAAAAATCTGAAAGTAGAGCTGTGGTTCAAGTGGTGGAGCACTAGCCTTGAGCAAAAAGCCCAGACACAGCTGGGCACTAGTGGCTCATGCCTATAATCTAGCTACTCAGGAGGCTGACATCTGAGGATTGTGGTTTGAAGCCAGTCCAGGTAGGAAAGTCCATAAGACTCTTAGTTCCAGTTAACCACCAGGAAACTGGAAGTAGCATTGTGGCACTGTGGCTCAAAGAGGTTGAGTGCTAGCTTTGAGGTGAAAAAGCCCAGGAATAGCACTTAGGCCCTGAGTTCAAGCTCCATGACCGACCAACCGACCGACCTGACACACCCCCTTCCCCCCCAGAAAAAGAAAAAAAGGCTTAGGGGCAGCTTCCAGGCCCTGAGTTCAAGCTTCAGGTCACACACACACACACACACACACACACACACACACACACCAAAAAAGGAATTAACTAGGAAAAGTGGTTGGAGAGGGAGGAGACAACACACACACACACGCACACACACACACACACCAAAAAAGGAATTAACTAGGAATGGTTGGAGAGGGAGGAGACAAGATATGTATAAATGCCTTGAGAAATGAAGGGAGGAAGCTATTTACTGATCAAACAGATGGCCTAAAGTTTGATAAAAGTTAACAGCCATTCATGATAAAGATGAACTCTTGCGTAACAAACTTTAAACAAGTTTATGAATTCCCTTCTTAAGTTGATAACAGGTTATCTACCAGAAAGTCAGAGCAAAACCCACACGAAGTGATGGAGTTTTCAAAAAAGTTCTGCAGCACAGCTGTCCTGGCATGTGGTGGGATCACTTCCCCACTCCTTTGGAAGTTAGGGTGAGTCATAGGACTTGCTTTGAAGTGTGCATGGACAAGGCCAATATGCTTTAGAGCGAGAGCTTCAAAAGCCAGTGTATAATTCACCTCGACCTTTCATCAAGCCCTAGGGATCTGGAAACACAGTTTGCATAAGC